ATGCATCATTCGCAGTGACGACAGCGCGCGCCGGTTCGTTGGCATTGCCGGTAACAATGCCACGTCGAATTGACTATCTCTCACGTTTATGCGCAGGTTACTGCCGCCCGGCACGGCCATTTATCTGACAATTAGACGGAGTCGTGGACAGAGGCGCTGCGTACGAATCCGCGAAGTTCCATGATTCTCTTAACGACGATAATTCCATGCATTCTGTCGCGTGTCTTGGCGCTCGTTAATTGCACGGATCCCGTGGCACGGTAATACTTTGGTTTCTCACGGCTTCGAAATTGCCGGGGTACGTAAGGGCGAGAGTGCGTTGGTCACGGAATTAAATCGTTGGGAAAGATGAACCTGGATGCCTCGAAGCGATTCGTAGAAATGTCCACAATGTAATCAGCCATTCACAGTTTACCGAATTAAAACATTTCTTCGTTTTTTAAAAGTTTCTTTACAAACGCTATAAGCGTGAATTTATTAGGATTCCAATTGGCTTATATTTCAATCTAGGTATTACTAAGTCAGCTTCTTTAACGATCCCTCGGAGATCTGTACCTTCACAGTAATTGTAAAAGAAGAAATTACGAATTGGTCATTTTGACCTACCCGGTAGTTCCAGCGTAAAGTGTATATACGTACAAATCAACTAAATACGTATTATCCACGAATATTTGAGTAATACGAAGGTACAGTTTCAAATCGCCGAGTTACAGCAGAAAGGTGGGAAACGAAGTAGTTGAATCGTGAAATAGAAGATTATCAACGATCCTCCGAGAGATGCAGCGAAACGAAGTCAGCGAGTCGACTCGTCGCTCTCGGTTAACAAGTTAATGAAGTCGTGGGAGTATTCGGTATCGCGACATTGCGTAATCGTTTCAAATAACGATAATCCGTGCCAGCGAAGTATTCACTGCTCAGAAGCAGAGGTGGCTGCGGACTGGCTGGTTCCTCGGCGGATCCTGCGGGGAGTCACGTCGCGAGCACGATAAGGTATCTAAGATTTGCATCGCCGCGGGGAATTCGACGATCTCACGGCACGAATCCGGAATGCATCGTCGCTCGCGCCAATGCGCCTCGAAAAGCACGGACCGCGAATACCCTGGATCTCGATCCCGATCCGCGCGTGTCCCCGCAGACCGGGCGTAGCCGAGCCGGAAACGTCCGACCCCGTGATTCCCCGATCCCAGAAACTGAATCCCTCCGGTGGCGCGCATCGTTCGACAGCTTCTCTCTTTCAGGCAGCCTCTGCACACACGTGTCCTTTGGTACGAGTATAATAGGTCACGGTATACAATGTGAGACTGTGGTTACCGTTAGTGCGGTTTAGGGTAGTGGTAGCTTCCCGTGTCGTACTTAGGCGGTTAGACTATGTCTTTGGTAGGAAATATGGCCGGCTCGAACCACTACCGAGGAGGACGGGTTAGGCGAATTTCGGGGTCGCGTTCTAATTAGCCATTTTGTTGTGCAAGCAAGAATCTCGGGTATTTCTTAACACGTTGACTGCCACGGTGGTTATCGATGACCGGAGCATCGAAATCACTTGAAAACAATGTTAATTTGTCGGATACCTAATGTCGAATGAGAATGTTTAATAGCGTAAACAACTAGATGACAATTTGACGTAAGCATTTCGACAGCAATTAATAAGTAACTGCTGTTCTTTATCTTTGCTACAGAAGAATATGCGATAGACGAAACTCTAAAGGTAAGTAAATAGATTATGTCGAGCTGCGGACATGTAGATTATAGTTACATTGAGCGATTTTCAGAAATAGATGGTGATATAAGGAATACTATCGATTAAGTAGATGTCATAGATGAGATACTCAGCGAATTGGAATTTATCTTTTGTAATTTGGTAGTAAAATGAGGCTAAACCTTTGTTGAATCAGCCTGCGAACTGACTTTTCATCCACATCATGCTGCGCGTCTTGTTACCGTGTTCTTGGAGTAGTATATTCATGTCATTACTGAACGCGATTCTAGCACGATGGCACAAGCGTTAAGATTGCGGGACAAACTGTCAGAGTGATGGAACCTAAATTCGTGTAATGCTTGCACTGTAACCGCACTGTAATGCGACATCGCGGAGCAGATTTCAAAGCAGACTCGGTTGTCCGCTTTTCTGGGACAATCTGTCACGTGCCGTCATGATTGATACCTTTTCAGGATTCTATTTGGGACGCTGTCGGTGACGTACAGGGTTTCCGGCTATGTGGATCAGTAAATTATTCGGTGGAAAAAGCGCAAAGAGGACGCGCGGAGCCTGTGTCATAGCTCGAGGCGTTTTCGATACTTTCCTGATAAATGAAGTAGTTAAAGTCGACAAACTGGAAGACAGTTTGTTTGGCACGGGGAAGCGTTACGTAACATTCTAAATATTGATTCCCGAAAATTGCTTCTCTCAAATATTCACGTGGCACAATGTAGGTCATGTAATGCACTCTTAAAATTCTGTCCGACGACTGCGCGTTTTAGGATACCGGTGTCACCTTCAGCTTTATAAAGGATGGCCGCATTTACATGCGTTCGGTAACAGAAACTTCGGGCAATATTTATCAAGCTTACCGAATTCTGAATTTGAATTATAATCCTGTTTGCAAAAGTGTTTCCAGTTTATTGTGCAAACTTTCGGGCTTCTTACAGAAACAATCATTTTCAAAGCAAATAATATTAGAAATAGTAAAACTTGTCTTGTCTTTTTACGAATATAAACGTTTACGTCTATAATTATATTAAAAACACTACAGTTTGCAAATATAATATTTCGAAACTGACTTCCAGTTTTGTTATAGCTACAAGTAGATCGCTTGTTAAAATCTACACCTGTACTTATTATATCAGCTTTCCACTATGAGAATGATTTCGTAGTTGTACGTATTTCGTTGCCGCAACAGTTCGTCCCAGAAATCACAAGGATTTACCGGACGCAAAAATTCACGGAGGGGTAGAAGTTGGCGGCGGCGGCTCTGCTCAGAGTTTCTTGGACAAACTTTGAAACCGAGGTCTAGGCAGCGTCGCGTTCCTTGGACCTGGCTTAATTAAAGCCGGGGAATGTTGTTTTATCCGTCTAACTGTCGCATTGTTGCAAGTTCGCGGATTTATCTGCAACAGTTATACGCGCACCGCAAACGAAACAGTTCCTCCCGACAATTTATTACGCCGACCGTGATATTAATTAGGATCGTTATGCGCAGGGTTTGCTGCGTTCCTCCGATTTTCGCATTTCTGATAGAGCAATTAACGAAGTTCGAAACTCGAGCGCCTTGGGATTTCGAGGCCGGGAATTCTTCGGTATAATCCGTGCAAAATGATTTCAGCAAAATATCAGAGTTCTCTCTAGTTATCCTCTCTATTTCGATATTCCAACAAATTAAAAGAACATGCCTAGTGTTTTGTCGATGTAACAACGAAGCCGGAATGACTGAGAGGATTTAAAAGATAAATAAAATGCTTAGTCTTTCCGGAATGGCGCCGGAATGTCTGAATGGATTTAAGGAACGTGTCCAGTGTTGTTTTAACGTGACAATGAGTCAGAATGACTGAAAAGATTCGAATGACGTGGTTCCTTGGATACGGAGTTCAAGGAATCGTTTGTTTGTTAGAAATAGTTGCGAAAATCGGTGATAATTTCAACGAAATCGGTAAGCACTCCGCTTTATCGACCGCGGCGGGACGCTCTAAAAGTGGCTGAAAAGTTGAAGGGAGCTGCTCGGAAGTTCCCTTGGGAAGGAAAGTTCCGAAAGCCCGCCGCCGGCGAATCGACCACCAAACTTTTTAAAACGTGGAAACTTGGCAGCGGCGATCTTTAAAATGTTTTAAACATTCGAGAACGGCGTTCACAGAGAAATGCCTTTCTCATTTAAATAATACATTAGAGATTCTCGTGCTCGCTACTCGAACATTCCGATATCAACGTAACCAATGTTTGCACACAATTTAGTATAAATCGGGGTTTCTTAGTTTCGGTGTGAATCTGTATCAGATGGCACAGTGTTTTATTGTCATCGAAGCAGAAAAACGTCATGCTAGCCGCGACACGTAAATATAAAATAATTAAGAAACTCGAGAGTGGTGTACGTGCATCCTAATTAACGAAAAATATGACGCAACCAAGACAGCAATTACCGATGTTGAAAAGCGGCGGCTCATTATAAAAGAGTGCTTACACTAAATTTATTAAATTGTTTGTACTAGTGAAACAGGTTATGCGACATTGAAAACCGAAATTTTGGGCATTCCGCTTTTTCAATGGTGCGTGCTAGTGTTGTAAAAATGAGGTGCGAGTTTCGTTTCGAATCTTTGATCTGAAAATTTGAAATTTTTAACAGACTTAAACATTAATGATTCGGTTATTTGATCCTAGAATATGCGGGAAGACGGAAATTTAATAAGAGGTTGATGGGAAATCTAAAATTCGGTTGGTCAGCTAAGTTTAAATTACGTTGCATCCTGTGAGAATGAAACTTTTAGTATGAAAGATCACTGCGGGGACCTTCAAAGAAAGTTTTAATAAATTTCGAACCGTGGAAAGTTCACCTCCTTTCAAATACACGTCTTTTAACGTCTAAAGGTGTAGATGCGCTAGCAAGTAATTTGCGACTCTTTCTCCAATAATACCTCGTAGAAGAGTCTTCTATTTCATTTGATTTTATCACTATCGCGAATAAATTAAATTTGCCACCGGTGATCTCAGTTGCATTTAAACGTGTCACGAGTGTTGTTGTCACAAAATAAAGATTGCAAAGTACTTGCCGGTATATATCAGCACTTTAAGAAAAATTTGAAAGTTCGTTCACCCACGCCCACGTGCTCTATTAATTCGACTAATCGAAGTTTCGTTGTACCGTAATTTGCTCCGCAACGATTCTTCGACGTTTAATGAACAAATCGGTTATTGTTCCTCGCGTGAGAAGCCAGCGTAATTGAACGATCGAGAACTCACAGGGGAAAAAGACAGAAATGATATTTCCGGCGACGCGTCGCGTTCGAATACTCACGGAAACAGGAGCCGTGTGAGGCGCGGCTACTTCCTGTACGTGGTGACGGCGACTGGGGCTAGGGCTCGACCTTTGGGAGCTCTGTCCGCGATGCCATGAACCTCCCTTGTTATTACTGAAATCAAATGAAAAAGAAAAGAAATCGGTTATTACAATTCACCTTGGTCCTTCGTGACTGAAGTTTCTTCCGAGGCGGACACTGAATTAAAAGTTGGTAACAACGACAGCGGATGATAAAGAACTTTTCATAAGTTCCTAACTCCTCGAACTTATTTAATTATGTTTATAGAGTCTTCGGGTGTATGTTCCTCTTGTTTACGTGTTCTATTTAATCTCTTTCTGGTTCTATTAAACTTTCATGGAGGTGGATATTCTGAATTTCTCTTCTAGACATTTTCCTCATAAAATGAGATTATATATTGGAAATTAAAATATTAAGGATGGATGGAAAGAATGGTTCACCGTATTACTTTTTGCATAACTGAATTATGTATTATACCGTTTCAATGTAACAGCAGCGATTGATTTACAAGGAAAAAATACACCGAGGCACGACCGAGAAAGATGTACATCCGCGGAAATTGGTGGATATAATTGACAAAGTGCTGATGCAAGTCACCGTATGTGTGTGTACAGATTAAACAAGAGTCGATCAACATTCTGTTCAAGCATTGGCGTAGATAACATCTAAACGACCACGTGTGTGGACAGAATATATATTTATGGGAACTAAGCTGGAGATTGAAAGTAAACAGATCCCGACAGGAAAATAGTCAAGATCGATTTTGTCAGTTTTTAAGTTATTTAGCGAGACGGCGTTGCAGGGGGCCAGCGATTCTAGAGTTCGGAGGTGGAAAAAATGGCGACGACGGCCGATTAAATCTCACAATAAATTATTCCAGGGCGCGACTTGTCAGCGTGACCAGCCAATAGAACGGTGTAATAAACTATCGGGTTGAGAGTCCTCGGACGTGATTTACACGGCCGATCATCGATAATCGTCCCTTGGAGATGTCGATATATTACGCGAGACAATGATCTACGATGCGTCGATACGCTATCACAAGATCAGGGGCTTTTAGTAATCTCGGCATGAAACAAGCACCGATATTCGACTCGTCCCTTTGTAATACTGAATTTCACCCCCGTTCGATGGCTATACTTTATTCTGATTTACAATCGAACACAATGCACCTGAACCGTTGAAGAATGGAACAGTACACGTTATAAGTTCCATTTATTCAAGTAAAGAGAGACCGATGACCGATCGTTGCTTTCTGCAGAGTCATAATGGTAATTGCTTACTCACATTTACTGCGCTTTTCATTCATACTATGACTTACAGATAAATTAAACCTTCGCACTCGAGATGCGATTCTATCAACATGTGTATCAACGGATGAAGCATCGAAATAAAATAGTTGCGTCCCTTGATCAACTAAAATGTTTTCTTCCGTTAGTTGCAAAAAGAGCCATCGATACTATCAGAAAATAAAGAATATTCATGCTAAAAAATATTGTCGAGTGCAAACGGTTAACATTTCACGCGTAAGCATAATCAAGAAAGGACAGAGAAGCAAGCGTCGATAATCTTCACAGTCCCCACAAGCCCTCGAAACCCATCGATTACTTTCCCGGCGCGTTTAGAACCACATCCGGCCAAAAATCCATCGCCTTTCATCCGAAGCACTCTCGACATTACAACCGTGCCTGCGTTACCCAACTACAATGCTAGCTGCATGCGCGTCACGTCCGCTCGTCATCTTCGAGGGAAAAAAAAGGAAAGAATCCCGATACCGAGCCCTCGAAAAGGCCGTTCACCCGTCCGCGTTTCCCCTCATAAATTAGAAACTCTCTCGTCACCGATGATCGTGATCGCGGCTGTCGAGAGCCGCGCGATAGGACACGCTCATTGTCTCTAAACCGACAGCTCCGATGCGCCGGCCACTCCCAGGCCACGGGAAAGGATCATCGCAGAATCGTTTCGGCCGCGGTAGAAAGCGGAATGGAATCGACGAGCCTTAGAGGGTTCGCGACCTCTTCGGGCTGGAAGACGCGACTCGGCTGGCAGTCGGGTCGGCTCCGTCATCGCGGAATCGCGGCGGAAAAGAATCGTTTCTCCGCCGATGAAAATCACGCGCGGCGTCCGGACGACACGCGGGAAAAGGCCGATCGTTGATGGGTTCGTTAGAACGCATCGCCGCGATCGTTCATCAAACGGACGATGATTTGCGCGCCGATAATGATGTATCGGGCCACAGTGAAAGCGTCGTGGGAATTGATTCGCGTGTGCACGCGCGCGCGCATCGTCTCGCGTACCCAGCCGGAAGCGTACGACGATAAGGTCACGTCAAGGCAATAGGTCGAACGATTAACGCTATTAACGTCCCGGCGTCACGGTGTTCCGCGGGAGGCGGTTTCTCACACGAGAACCGCTCGTTATCGCGGAAATTTTCGCGTCCTCCGGTAATTTGCGCGGGGACGTGGGAGCGAGGCCAGGATCGCCGGCGCGATTACTCTCCTCGCGTAATTTATTTAACGGCCGCCGACGCCGCTGACACCTTCGCGGACGTATCCTCGCTGTTCCCCTCGGCTAATATTTGCCTCGAGTTTCGCCGGCGACGAGGCGGCCCCGGAATATACCCGGCGAGGCTGTTTGGAAATTGAGATATCGAGACGCGCGCGAGCGACTCGCGCCCGTTAATCTTGTCGTTATCAAGGAGTTTCGTAATCATCGGCACGCCGGGCTCGCGCGACACGGCGCACCGCCGTTTTCGCGCGGAAAGTGCAAGGAACTCGGTCAATATTTCCAAGGCTGATGGGAACGAGACTGTGCCCCGGGCCGCGCCGGCTGGAACTGAACCGCGCGCGGTGCCCGGATAGATATCCGCGGGAACTACACGGGTTTGTACTTATAATTATCTCTCTGTTTGGCGAACTCCGCTGTACAATTGCGGGATCGGCGCACCTTTTTATACGCTTCGTTTATTTCCCGCGATGCGGTGTTACTCGCCAACGCGCCGCCTGAACAAATCGGTAACTGGTTTCGTTGGTCTTACTGTGGTCTTCGTATTGGTCATGTTTCCGTTTAATTAGAGGAACGTGATTTTTAGACGGAGCTTCTGTATTGTGTTGGAAATGCGTTCTGTTGAAATTTTGGGATTTTCGACGGGAAACAGATTTTAAGGATGCACGCTGAGAAGTTAAGCTTCCTGGGAATCAATGCAGGGTAAAGGTGATTCTTTGGAAGAAGTGTCTGAAAGTTTGCACTGTTACCGAAGGGGTCCATTTCTGAAGACTTCTTTTCGTAAAGCTATTAAGTTCTGTACACTCACGACTTTGAAGCTCACCTCGCAGATACAGTGAAACAGTTTTATAACTAAAACAGACCGCGGAGGAGAGATTCGATATTATTATCGATAAACTTCGGCGTTGCTGCTATAAAAACCTCTGTTTTTCGCTAATGAAAGTTTGCCCTGCCAAAGCAAATATTTACGAACAAAATGTTACAAACAAGGTATTGTATTTTGTTAAAATTCGATGATAATTGATACACATTAATGAGGAATATAGTATGCGCGGAGGCGCTTTTAGGTTAACGGTAACGCCGAGGAAGGATCGGACTCATTTTCGAAAAATTCGCTGGACGCATGTTTTTTTATACATTCCTGCGCCGTATAACGAGTTAAAAGCAATTTGTGCGGCGTTGATTTATGCAAACATGTTTATACTGTGTCCAAAGTTATACCAGGTATTGGAATTTTTTAGTCGAGCTCGCATAAAAACTCGCTGCCTGCAACTGTATATCATCGTGCCCCATCTTTCCTCGACGCGAAGAATCTCGTTATTTCGTCTGGCCAGCATTGTTCTACTGTATTATTTAATCGGACTATTCCAAAAAGGCGGTTCATTGGAATTTTCGAAGCGGGCCTTGGACAAGCCAACAAACACACGCGAAATAATTTAACGTTCTCTCAAAGACTCGGCAGACCGCCATTAGAATAAAGAATTGATTAAAATGTATTAAATCGTGCAAGAAGGAATTCTATTGAGCTCCAATATTATTACTTTTAATTATTCTTCTTAATTACTGGACTAAGTTCGGAATATCTAAATTATTTTCTCTTCGCGTAGTAGAATTTTGACAACCTTTTTTTACCATAATACATTCAGCTCAATTATATAAGCATATCAACACTAGATTCACAGAACCCGTCAATTTGACGGATATTGAATTTTTTAAACATTAATTAGTAGCTTAAGTCGATTTTGATTCGTGCAATTATGCGAATACACATTGTAATACTCTGCACTGGAACCTACAATTTTCACAATCTGTATAAATGAATACATAGTTTTCTATAACCAATAGGATAAAATGTAGAATAAACGTCCGTAAATCTAGCGTTAAACCGGTCTCTGCAGTTTTATCTGCAATTTCTTTTATAATATATTTCTGAATACTTTCATACTGTTTCTTAAGAAGTATCTCTGAATAAATCACCATACGAACTTCAATAACGGTTTCCCCCTTTCATCGTTCGTCCAGATAAATCCCCGACGGAACGGCGTACGTTTACGAAGATTAATCCCCAGCGATTTCCGATCCAACGACGATCGACGATCACGCTTCTTTCGTTTATCCGATCCCAGTTCCAAGAAAACGCCAGTAAAACACGGAAAGAACGAGGAGCAAGTGTTAAAAGCTGAATTTATTCAATGTCCACCCTCCGTCAAAGGTTTCCTGGCTCGTTTGCGTTTCGATTTTTTTCTTCCCCGTGCCTCGTTGGTGTTCCGCGGCGCAGGGTGGATAAATCGATGCACTCCGGCCCATATAAACAATCGTATTTATCGTGCGGTGGTTCACGTGGGTGTGCTGTTACGAGCGGCAAGAACCGGTCGTAAAATCTTACCGGTTTCCCGATACGGCATCCCTCGTCCGGCCGCGACCAGTGGAATATGAATGCGAGCGCGAAACTGTATTCGGCTCGGTCAACGGAAGAATTCAATTGATTCCAATTCCACGGAGTGTATTTGCCTTCTCATTGCGTCAAACTCTGGTAAAAAGTATGCTCGCCGTTGCCGTATTGTACCAATGGCAACGCCGGCAATCAT